CTCACCTTTCTCTACTAGTTGTGTGATTTCTTTTTTCCTCTCGCTGTGAGCAGGTACCATCAGTAGATTGGCCTTCACTTCACCCCAGTTACAAGTGGAGTACTGTTCCACGGGTGCAGATCCCCCCTCGGGACAGAGAAGCACGAATTCAGATCGCAGTCGCTTGTTGAACAGCCGAAGTCGGTCTAAATCACAAAATACAGTGTGATAAGGCCAACTCAAAATAACGAAAATAGGAAAGCAACAAATTTTGAACTACGAAAAACACCAGACATTGTGATGCAGCTGTCCAGAATACCAAAAAAATGAAACACAATTAAAAGTGAAGGAACGCTCGAAAAAATCTCGTTTTTTGGGCAACATTATCAAATTAATAATTGAAATACAGTTTCTTAGAAAAGACAGATATCATATATCTTAAACAGACATAAAAAAGCTTTGAACAAAATGTGAGTCTTTTTGATACAAAAAAGGATAGTCAAATTTAAAAGCTACATTTCAATAGCCCCCGTATTAATGACATTAGAGGTTACGTATCAGTATTTAGACAACCGCGTATTCAGACTCGTCAGTAATAAGACAAATACTGTATTAACCAATCAAAATCGAGACAAGGAAGAAATGAATAATTACTATTTATTTATTTCGTAAATTTGCTTTCTCATCTCGATTCTGATTGGTTAATATGGTAATTGTCTGCTTACCGACGAGTATGAATACGCGGTTGTCTAAATACAGACTGCCATCCGGCATTAGAGTACTGACATGAGCTTTATTAAGAAAAGCCAACTATCATCAGAGCTTTTTAACAGCATAGACAAAGGATCGTTCTCTAGAATTCAACCTGGATCTACTTAACAATCCCCCTTTCAAGAAAGGGGGGGATTCTTTAGTAGATACAATAGGGGGGAGATTGTTAAGTAGATCCTTCAAACTTACCCAACGTAGACAAGTCTTTGCTGGTGATCTGCTCTCTCGTAACTGTCATCTTCAGAATTGTGTCATGTCTCAGAAAAGCGACGTCTGCCCTTCCACTTTTCTGCTGTTGATTTCCTTCAGTTGAGTAATATGGCTGGCTCGACAGCCCCACAAGACACCTAACAAACAATGCAACAAATTTTAAAACTCTTTTCGAAGCGCATTGAAAATTGAGAATTGTGAAGAATAATAATGATTAATTAAACTTCAAGCCATTATGCATCTTTGATGAAAGAACCAATCTAAAACTTCATTTATATTCATTTCAAAAACACATTGGAAAATTTTTCTTTTTCATGGAATTGGAGGACTCATCCTAATTGCACAAACAACCCCCCCCCCCCCCCCCCCCCACCCCAAAACAATTTAGAGAGGAGATCGTGAACTTGGCTGTAACATTCTTCTTTAGCCAATTATTTTAGTGGGTAATTGAACATTCGCTTGGTTCAGGGGGACAGAAGAAAAGCTCACGTGGTCCAGATATTTGGACACCGGGGAAGCACTAGCCGTCATTCTACTAATTGGTACAAAAAACCATCAATTTTTACAAATTAAATTCCACCCGTAAATCAGATTGTGGTACCTGAATGCGCCCTGTTCTCCGTAGAAGAACTCGTAGGAGGAGCTGGCGCAGTTGTCACTGCCTGTTCCATCACACAACGAACAAAGACTGCTCACATTCAGACCAGCAGGATTAGCCGAAATATCCAGAACGCCTGGATTGAAAGAATGCTTAAGAATGCACTACTGTAAGAAAATGAAGAAAAAAACTGACTCGAATAAGGAATTAAACAGCTTCTCGCGTCTTGATAGCTGATAATCACATTCGCGACTTGCATGCAGTTTTTAAAATCATTTCGGGAGCAACATATTGAGTATTGCATAACGTATTGCTAGTAAAGGCTACCCAGCTATCGCAGGCAAAAGCCTAAGAATATAGGATTAAATTTTTTTAACTTAACTAACAATCTTTTACAGGAAAAAAGGTAGCTCAATTTTACTTAGTCTAAGACCGTTTTTTCATTATGATCGTCGAACTTAATTATTTGGAATGTATTTTCATCTGAAAAGTGAAGAAATTTTTACGTGTCATATAGGCTTTTGAGTATAAATTGTCGAATTTAGTTTCAGGATTTTCCTCTGCCTGCTCTAGTAAAGCTGCCTGCTCATATAAAATTTAATCGCAATTTCCAAACAAAAACCACATTTTGTGTTCAGTGTTACTTGGAATTTTCAGGTATCAATGAAAAAGAAAAAGAAAACAACTGCTGATAGAAATTTTCAGGTGAAGAAAAAAATGAACTTTAAAACAAAAACATAAATAGTCGATTGCTGTGCAAAAAGAAGAGAAAGTTCCGACCACAAATTTTTTTAGAAAACAACTTTTTGTGTGATATTAATGTGATAATTTTAGTGTGATATTTTATGTTCGTTTGGCTATGAAAGAATCTGAACGAAAGTCTAGAAAGTAATTACATTCCGTAGTAAGAGAGAGTACATTACGCATATTTGACTTCAGTTTATTTTTTTTAAAAAAATCAGCAAAAAAGCAAAAGCAAAACTAAATCCTAGAATTGTTTTTTGACTTTTTTGTTACCAAGGCCTAAATTTGTTTTCTTAGGACTTCTTTGTTGTCAAGAAGACGCTGAAAAAAGCTTCAAAAATTAATATTCCTGCAATAAAAATCATATTGTACGTCTGTGATCCTTATTATAGGCCTGTTGGCATGCTTCGCTTGCTCGAAATTAGACCAAAAATCGAAATTTTTAAACCGGTTTTTCTCTACGCTGATAACATTTTTGAAAAATTTTAAATATCGTTCGAATCACGACTGAAAAGGCTGTAAAAAGAATTATCATCAAACTTCTTCTTGCGATAAATTGTGGTATCTGATTTTGCGTGGAAAAAAAAGGAAACCAGGATGGCCCGTTGATGTGCAAGTAGTGCAGAATGTTCCGACCATAGTTTAAAAAAATACAAAGAAAAAGTTTTTTTTTTCAAATAAGTGTCGTTTTTTTCACTGCCTAAATTAGGGGGAAAATAAGCTATTGTGAGCCTGCTCGAATTTATTTGCTCGAACTTAGACTAAAAATCAAAAAAATTAAACCTGTTTTCTCAATACTTGGACGTACGTTTTTCGTAAATTTTTAAATTTCGTTCTAATTCAATTTGAAAGGGCTATAACATGATGTAACACTCAGCCCATTCCCATATTGATTTGTGGCACTTGATTTTGCATAGAAGACAAAAAGAAAACGAAACAAGAAGATCCGGTTACTGCGCAAGTAGCACAGAATGTTCCGACCATAACCTTAAGAAAACGGTTTAGAAAGTTTTTTTTCCAAACAAGTGTACTTTTTTTCTGCTTGGCGTGATAAAAGGATCTGACGCATAAATAAAAATTAGGCATATTAGACACTCATAGAAGTATAGGCAAAATGGACAAAAATTAGCGTAGAAAAATGACTAGAAAAACTTGAAAACAAATTCAAAAAAAAATTTCAAAACTTTTTTGCAGAAAACTTTTGAAATTTTTTTAAACCAAAATTAAGCTTAAAAGACTCCAAAAATTAGATTTACCTGACTAAAATTAACTTTTACGGTCTGAAAGTAGGCATAAATTGGGCATTTTAGCTGTTGTAAGCCTGCTCGCTTGCTTTATTCGCTCCGGTTTTTCAAACCGGTTTTTCTCGACACCAGCAAAAACTTCCTGGAATTTTTTAACTTGGTTCCAATCACGACTGAAAAGTCTTTAATATGATATGTTACTAAACCCAGTCCGATGATTTTCTGTGGTACCTAATTTTGCGTGGAAAAAGAAAAAACTAAAATACAACCGAATACAAAGTTCCTCCCCATTTTTCAAATGGACGGGAACAAAAAAGAAAAACTACAACGCACTCGAATACGAAGTTTCTCCCCTATTTTCAGTGGTTGTGGTTGGAACATTGGAACAAATAGCTCATCGTTCTGCTAGTCAATCATGAGAAACCAGTAAAATATAAATATAACAAGTATGTATGCAATGAATTCAAAGCAAAACAAAAAAAAACGGTTTTTGTGCAATTAGCACAGAATGTTCCACCAATCACGCGAAGTTTTATGAAATGAGAAAATTGAATAAAAAATCATAATGAAATAGGAAAAAATTCTAATTCTTACAACACTTTTTAAAGTTTTTGAATGCGTTTTGTTGTATTTTAGTCGGTGAGAGGAAACTGAACGGGCTAATGAGCTTTATTAACTATTTAAAAAAAGAATAAATATGGCAAAACTCCAGAAGAAATTTTAATCTGAAACTTTTAGTCTGAAAAATCATAAGCCCTGAAAAATGAAAAACCAGACCAAACAACTTTTTCGAATGTTTTGACATCTGAATCACTACTAGGGGTTTAATAATATATCGCACTTTACGTTTTTTATGAGCTTTATTTAAGACAGACAAAACATCAAGCTGAAAAAACACAAGCCAACCCATAGTTCCTTCCCATCTTTTTAAGGGGGTTGTCGAAACTAAAGCCTACACGAACATCTAAGTTTTGTGCAATTAGCACAGAATGTTCCAATCACGCGAAGTTTTATGAAATAAGAAAATCGAATAAAAAATCATAATAAAATAGGAAAAAATTCTAACTTTTACAACATTTTTTAAAGTTTTTGAATGCGTTTTGTTGTATTTTAGTCGGTGAGGGGAAACTGAACGGGCTAATGAGCTTTATTAACTATTTAAAAATCGAATAAATATGGCAAAACTCCAGAAGAAATTTTAATCTGAAACATTTAGTCTGAAAAATCATAAACCCTGAAAAATGAAAAACCAGACCAAACAACTTTTTCGAATGTTTTGACATCTGAATCACTACTAGGGGTTTAAGAATATATCGCACTTTGCGATTTTTAAGAGATTTCTTTGAGACAGACAAAACATCAAGCTGAAAAAACACAAGCCAACCCATAGTTCCTTCCCATCTTTTTAAGGGGGTGTTCGAAACTAAAGCCAACACGAACATCTAAATTTTCCCGGAAAAAAAAAGAATAAAAGTATCAAAACGTTCTCACCAGGAATGCATGAATTCCCGAAAAACCCAGCCGCTGACACCAGTGGGGACGTGCAGTCCATCTGAGTCATGAGACCCCTCCTGAGCAGCACAGAGAGGGGGATGGCGAAGGCAGAGGGGGAGTGGACCGAGGGGTGACATGACCTCGTGCCCTTCAGAGTGTCTACCGTTATGTTGCTATCTGCCCAGGCCACTGCAACTGCATAGTGGTCTAGGGGGGCTATAGTGTCACCTGAAATATCAAATAACTTGAAATAATTTCGGACTTCACTAAGCAACTAAACATATTCACTAAGGACAAATGATCATAATATTTCTGTGTGAGGTCATTGGTTATGCATTAGAAAGAGGCCATGGTTAATTTATTTCAAATGAATGCAATGCAATGACCCAGAATTAAATGCTTAAAACATTAATTGTGCAAAGCAAACTCGTTCATTTTCAAGTAAACGCTTGAATACAAAAAAATTTGGTTCAACTTTGATGCAAATACTTTAAAAGCACTTAAGGAATAAAACAAAAAGAGCATTTGATCAAAAATTAATTTTCTCAAAAACAGCCAAATTCAGTCTTTAAAGACAAAATTTTTGCTAAAAGTTTTCAAAAGCATAGTAAACGTCAATGTATTGGAATTCGACGGGAAATTTCGTATAATACTGCTAGAAAGATAAATTACTTGATAAAAAAGACCCAGAGTTTGTTTGGAAATTCAAATATTAACGTTAAACAGTTTAAGGGGGATTTTGTTTGCTGAAAAATTGAGAAACAGGTGAAATGGAGACACTATTAATTGGGACAGGATTCATATTTTCAATAAATTTTAATATTCACCGAGGCGAAGCTTTGCTCCGAAAACACTAGCGAAAACACGACAAAAAGCAGCTCTATAAAGCGCAACAAGAAATATTAACAATGAAGCACGAGTTAGCCAAAAACCGCTATGTCTTAGATTCGACCCTGCGACCTTGCGATTGAGGGTCTCACATACTAACCATTCAGCCACAGACGCTTTTTAGTTATCAACCACTAGCCAAAAATGAAGCAGAGAACCGATGCTATGCAATTTCTCATGCTACAGTGAAATTTCCAAATAAGTGAAAACTTTTAATCAACTTTTTTAATTGCCAGTTATATCAGAAAAAAGATGGCTTGTAATAATACAATAAGCTGATTGCTAGTGTAAATACAAAAGTAATCGATTTAATCGATAGTAATCTCAGAGCTCAGTAATTGCATATCTTATACTATTTTTGAACCAACTACAGATTTTGGCGATGTTTTCTCCCGAATTTCTGGCGTTCTTGCATTTGTTATACGTCTGTCATAGCTTGACTTGGACCTGCCCTAAACAACATGACCTTGACATGTGCGAGGAGTCTTCTCGTCAATCATGGCTACGGACACTACGTGGGTTTCTGTTTGAGAACTCATTCGGTTCGAGTGATATATCATATTAAAGTCCTTTCAGTCGTAATTCGAACAACATTTTAAAAACTTTGAAAAATATTTCTCGGTGTCAAGAAAAACCGTTTTGAAATTTTTATTCCAATTTCAAGATACTGAGATGAGGCTGAACAAGCTCATAAACGCTTATTTATGCTTAATTTAAGCCGTGAAAACGTAGTTTTATTCGAGTAAGTTAGGTTTTGGAGTTTTTTAAGTCATTTTTCTAAAAAAAAAACTGAGCAGAAAAAAAAACGCTACTAATTGAAAAAAAACAACAATTTTTGTAATATTTTTGAAGACTATGGTCGGAACAATCTGTGTTACTTGCACAGTAACCGGCTATCCTGGTTTCATTTATGGTTTTGATTTGCCCTAACTATGAAAAAAATATATATTCAAATCACCGACAATAAATTTAAAATTTTACCTCAAGGGTAATTAAATACCTATGTTCAACTGGACAAGTCAGCTCCCAATTGATCAGAACTACCCGGGCTGACAAAAACTGTCAATTAAACGTTTATACAAAACACTATAAAAATTCGCTGACAATTTCATAGCATGAAAAGAACGCTTGTCATCCAACTTCATAATATGAAAAAAAAAAACAATTGTCATACAATTTCATAGAACAAAAAATTTTCATGAGAAAGCATAACAAGCATTTTTCCATACAATGTAACTTCATTATAGACATTTTTGTTCACACTCCGGAATTAAATAACGAGCTTTTTACATTCTTTTTATATCAAAAATTGTATCAAATTGCATAAGCATTTTTTAATTAAAATTTTACCTCAAGGTTAACCAAATACCTATGTTCAACTGGGCAAGTTAGCTCCCAATTGATCAGAACTACCCGGGCTGACAAAAACTGTCTATTAAACGTTTATACAAAACACTATAAAAATTCGCTGACAATTTCATAGCATGAAAAGAACGCTTGTCATCCGACTTCATATTATGAAAAAAAAAACAATTGTCATACACTTCCATAGAACAAAAAATTTTCATGAGAAAGCATAACAAGCATTTTTCCATAGAATGTAACTTCATTATAGACATTTTTGTTCACACTCCGGAATTAAATAACGAGCTTTTTACATTCTTTTTATATCAAAAATTGTATCAAATGGCATAAGCATTTTTTAAATAAAGTTTTACCTCAAGGTTAACCAAATACCTATGTTCAACTGGGCAAGTCAGCTCCCAATTGATCGAAACTACCCGGGCTGACAAAACCTGCTTGTTATACAATTACACCAACAAAAATCAAATACACGTTCATATTGAAAAACCCTTATCATACAATTTAATAATATGAAAAAAAAACATTTGTCATACAATTTCATAGAACAAAAATTTTTTATGAAAAAGCATAACAATCATTTTTCCATACAATGAAACTTCATTATAGACATTTTTGTTCCTACTCTTGAACTAAATAACGCGCTTTTTTTACATTCTTTTCATATAAAAAATGTTATCAAATGGCAGAAGCTTTTTAAACTTTTTTTTAAATTAAAATTTTACCTCAAGGTTAACCAAATATCTATTTTTAACTGGACAAGTCAGCTCCCAATTGATCAAAACTATACGGGCTGACAAAAACTGCTTATTATACAATTATACAAAACAAAGAAAAATCAATTACAATTTCATGGCATGAAAAAACTTTACAATTTCATAGCATGAAAAAATTTTACATGAAAACCTCAAATACAATTTCATAGCATGATTCATGCATGAAAAAACATAGCATGAACAAACAAAAAAAGTTTTCTGAAAAAGCATAACAGGCATTTTTCCATAGAATGAAACTTCCTGTTAGACATTTTTATTCACACTCTGGAATTAAATAACGAGCTTTTTTAAATTTTCTTATATCAAAAATTGTATCAAATGCAATAACCAACTTGTTTATTATTACAATTTAGGATAAGCATTTTCCATACAATGAATCTTCCGTATAGACATTTTTGTTCACACTCTGGAATTAAATGACAAACTTTTTTACATTCTTTTTATATCAAAAACTGTATCAATTGCTTTAAGCAACTTTTTTATTTTTACAAGTTATGATAAGCGTTTTCCATACAATGAAACTTCCTTATAGACATTTTTGTTCACACTCTGGAATTAAATAACGAGCTTTTTTAAATTTTTTTATCAAAAATTGTATCAAATGCAATAAGCAACTTTTTTATTATTACAATTTATGATAAGCATTTTCCATTTTCCATACAATTGAACTTCCTTATAGACATTTTTGTTCACACTCTGGAATTAAATAACAAGCTTTTTTACATTCTTTTTATATCAAAAATTGTATCAAATGCTATAAGCAGCTTTTTTATGATTAATATTTATGACAAGCATTTTTTCCATGCTATGAAGTTGCATGATCGGAATTTCTTCCATTATTGAAAAAACAAAAAAAAAACTGATTTCCATTTTGAAATCTTGTGTTTTGTTTTCAAACACAATAACCTAGGATTTTCTTAAATGAGGAAAACCAGAATTTGAAAGGCAGTTACCACGTAGATAAACTGAATTTCCAGCAAAAAATTTTCACGACCTATACAACAGACAGTCAGAAACATGTGCAAATGAACTCAGGGAAACAAACCGAAAAATTCTTTAATTTTTTTTGAAAGTTTTCGAACTATCGAATTTGTGGGAAAAAACATCTCTTTCAAGCACTTTAAATTTAAAAAACTTTTTATGAATGACTTTTTTTTCAATAACTAACCTATTTAGAGAAAAACGGATCGATGACTATTTCTTATTCCACTGAGAATTCAGAAAAATCAAATTCGGAAACACTGGCTTAAGAGAGGTTAGATTGTGAGCAGCTTTGATTCAATTTATAAAAAAGCGGTCTTGCCAATTTAATTACTGAGGATACAAAATGTATTTAGGCTTTAGTAACTGATCACGATTGGTTAATATAAAATACTATACAGCAGGAACGGATCTAGACTGCTGTTGAACTTTTTTAAGATGGCCAAATTGATTCACGCAGCTCTTTCAAAACACTATAAATTTCCAGTTTGACAATTTTTTTCTTTATAATTTTCTAAATTGACAATTTTCTACAATCTTTACAGAAAAATTTGAAAAAATGGCACTAAAAGACCTTTTGGAAAAGTTTCAGGGTAGATTGGTCGAAAATTGATGTCGTAAAATAAAACCAAAGGTGGGACCCTTTGGGTAGTTCGGGCGTCGAATCGTTGGAAGGGGGCGTTTTCTGGATATTTTTTGGAAAATTTCAGTTTAAGAGTTTTTTTATCGCTACTGCGGTCGCAATATACTTTTTATACAGCAGCCGGCTATTTTTGTAAAGTTCATTTAGTTGGTTTTTTTTTGTACTCACCAGGTCCAGGGTAATTCTCTGCCATGATGCCCTGCAGTCGGAACTTCTTTGAGGCCACGCCCACTTCCACGCCCTTCACTGACGTCACATCCGCCTCTCCTTTGGCCAGAGTTCGAAGACATGCAGAGTGACCGGATGAGGGGGAGGACGAGGAGACTGGGAAAAGGGATCGACGAGTAAATTAATAACAATAATTTGTTTTCAAGGAGAGAACATTTTGTCTATTATTTACAAAAACTATCCAAAAAAAGAAGGATAGCCGGTTGCTGTCCAAGTAGAGCCGAATGATCCGACCACATTCTTAAAAGATACATTTTAATTTTTTTCATGTTTCCTCACAAAGTAGTATTGTCTTTTGTGAGTGGTGTGATGAAAGGATCTGAGGAAAACCTAAAAAGGAACCATATTCTCTAATCAGAGTAACTTAAGCAAATCAAGCAACGGTTTTTGTTTAAAAAATGAGCAGAAAAAAAAACAAAAATTTTCTAAAGTTTTTTTTCTTTTTTTTTGCCGAATTTTTTTTTGACTTTTTTTGCAATTCAACTTGAAATTTGAAGTTAAATTAAAATTTTATGACTTATCCTTCTGTGATAAGCATGCTTGCTTGCTTTACTCGCTTGAATTCTCAGATACTTTTTCAGATTCAGTTTTCATTTTGTTCCAGTAAACTTTTCATTCAAACTTCCAGATGAAATGAGCAGAATGTTTGATTTTTTTCAGAATTTTTGATTGAGAAAAAGCAAGCTGTTTGATAATCACATCAAAACTATCCAATAGCAGCAGAGCGATCCCAAAGCGAAATGGTGCCGCTTTTTTAAACTATTTCATCGATAAGTTTTTGAGATTTAGGGTTTGTTAAAAACCATCCACAAAATGAGATAGTTTTTTTCGTTTTTATATTTTTTCCTGCGCATATAATAGGTCAGCGCAAAATTGACCGCTTTTTCTTATACTTCGAACATTATTTATAATTGACATCAGTCAAATTAACTGGCAAAAGAAGCGTAAAATTGAATTTTTGAATAGCATTTCATCTGTCAGAATAAAATATTCACAAAAATTATCTCTGTTGCAAGTACAACTGACAGAAAATGAAATGATTATTTTAAGCGTTAAAATTATCAACTTACCCGGGTTGACCAACAATTCTCATGATACAATTTTCATATATGAATAACTTCTTCTCATACAATTTCATCTAATTCCATACGTACAATAAAAATATGAAATCTATGACAAACAATTTTTCATACATGAAAATGAAATGAGTAGCATTTTTTTGTTAATTGAAAAAAAATTTTTTTTCGAGTTTTGCTAAACATATTTGTTGACATAAATGGATTCGCACAAAAATCATAGTCAATCTTATTTCATTTGTATGAAAAATTTAGCTTTGAATACGTTATAGACAAAAAATAACATTTTTGCGTGCACAAATGTTTTTTTTAGAATAAAACTAATATTGCGACTAAAATAGACGAAAAACTGTTCCCTGAAATTTCGATTTTTTAATTTCGGTTTTTTTTTGGAGCAATGTAAAAATAGGTCGTCATAAGATTTTAAATTTTCATATGTGGAAATTGTATAATAAGCGGTAATTGTATGGTAAGCCTCTAGTTAAGGAAATTTCAAAAAAGACCAAGGCGACAAATTAAAACTGTGAAACAGACAGCCCCCAAATCAGAGAATTTTAACGAACGACAAATGCGAAAAACTAAAACGAAAAACTAAGTTTTCCATCAAATTGGATTCCCATTACAATTTTGGACTGTACAATAAAACTTTTTACTGCGAATATAGCCTCCGGGCGTTATATCGAACGAGATTCCCGCAAGATTTTGCTTTCCTAATTATGTATGCAAATCTTGCAAGACTGCTGCAAGGTTCGCGTTCTTTCGCAAAAATTTCGGAACATTCGCATTCCGAAACAGTAGGGTTTTAGAAGGCGTCGCGATGAAAATATGTGTCTATATATGTCAACATAGAGGCCAAGCTGTACTTCACAAACAGTAGCGAGAAAACGACAACAAGCAGCTCTAAACAGTGAAAAAAAAGTAGAAATAAACCTCAAAAAAGTAACACTTTCGCTATGTATAGGTTCGAAACTATGATCTCGAGAACTGGCGTCTCACGTTCTCGCATCTGCACCATCAGCCCTTGAAAATATCTAACATAAGCTATCAATGATGCAGCTATAGATGATAAAAATTGCCGATGCTTTGCAGCAAAAATTCCAGAAAAAATGAAAAGATTGTTAAGCGCGGCGTAAAAGCTCCGACAAATGCATTATAAGTCTCACGTACTTCCATCTGCCCCACGGTCGCTCAATACTACTCGAACACTATTCACATTTAAGGCAAAAAACAGATGCTATGAAATTAACAAAGCTACAGATTGTGATTATAGCACAAGAAGTAGAGTCATGTTACAATACTACGCTCACTAGGCGCTTTTCCACTCCCTCCCCCCAATTTTGAACTTCAGTTTTGAAAAAACTATTTTTACGTTTTCAAAATGCAATGAAGGTTTGCATGGTGAACAAGTTAACTATTGCGAACATATTTGTCCTTTTTACCTTACATCCTAACATAACGCATTCAGCCATTATAACACGTAAGTCAACTGAGAAAAAGGAAAACTGAAATGTGGAAGGAAATTGGATAAGAGCATCTGGCTAGTGTAAAAATGCTAATTTGACAAGCCTGAGGGTTTTCAGCTTAATTCGTCAGAATTTTCAAAACTTCATTCTTATTGGAACTATCAATTTCGGGCATTTGGCCCTCTTGACATGAGGGATTCTTCTTTTAATGTCTATTCACTGAAGCAGCCCAAACTCGTAATTGACAAGATATAAAAAATGGAAGTGACAATCCTCGAATATGATTGGTGGTGGGCTCCAACAGTTTAGTTTGAACCAAGGGCTTCAATTAATAAATATTGCTCTTGATTAATTTTAAAATGACCGACGCCTATTACAGTAGCGGATTTAGGGAGGCAAAAATTGCCTAAAAACGCCTTTTTGGCCTGTTTTTTTTAATTTTGCCTGCGGCGCAGAAAATTTGGTCAAAGTAAATGGGTTGTTTATAGTGAGTTAGGAGTTATAGTGAGAAAAAAAGGTCGACAAAAATTTCGAAATCCGCCCCTCCCCCTGGAGGAATTCCTAGATCCTCGCCTGTGTTGATACCTTCAGTGGTTGCGGAGAGTACACAGAGTATGGTTGGTTTGAGTTTGTGGGCTGTGAATGCATTGGACATGGCCCTGCATTTCTCCTCCTCCAAATCAGAGTTCACACACCACCTCAGAGGAGCTGACAAAGACATAAAACAACCCAAGTCGTGAATAGTGCACATAGTTGAAATATTTCGTAATTGCGACAGCAAATGTTGACAAGGAAAAACACAGAGGATGACAGCCGACAAAAGTTAGAGAAGGTCATTAACAAATATTTAGTTTTAATTCAGTTTTTATCAGTGGCGTTCACAGGAGATACCAGTTTTTGCAATATTGTCAGATTTTTTATTAGTTAGGTCAGATATTTCAAATTTTTTGAGCTCCGCGGCATATTAAATCGTTCATGCTAGGCACACATTGCATAACACGTTTTTTTTTCTGAAAAAAAAGCCGTTTCTGAGCATTTTTGGTTCAATTTTCCAGCGTATCCTCGCCTCCCCCTCAAGATCTTGCGGCAAAAATAACACCAAAAAATCTGAAGGTTGAAAAATGGCTGTTGGAAAATATCTTTGGGATTATTTTGGCACCAAAGGGATAATTTTATTTCTTCAAGAGAAAGGAGAGACGAACCTTACAATCCCCTCCCTCATATCGATTTAGGGGAAAATATGGAATTTTCATAAGATTACTTTGATTATAGTCTAGATTCGTTCAAAATGGCCGTATCACTAAAGAAAATTGAAATGAAAACATTGATTTGCGTAATTAACAGCATACAAATGCAATCCCGCATGGAAAAAAGATGTAAAAACCAATTTTATTTGCGCGTTTGTATGAAATGCATATACAGAAATAATTTTCAGACTTAATACATGCTTGGGGAGGGCATTCTACGGTAGGTCACTTAGGGGGGGGAGAGATAGATTGTACGGTTGATCCGAAAGGAGTAGTTGACACAAATTTTTCAAAAAACCGCCCCCGTCAAAAATTCTTTGGCAAGCCATTGAACGTTTATGAATTCTGCGATGATTAAACTATGAAACGATTTCTCAGAAAAAATAAGGTTTTCAAATTTAAATTCCAAATGACCAAAAGCAAACTGCACAACTGAAGATTAACGAAAAAAGAAGACTTTTTGAGCATTTCTGTTGACTTACTTTCAACTGAAGACAAAGCTAGAGAAGTTATGAGGCATAATGATAGCAGCAGAATGCAAACAAAACGCTGCAAAAAGACATCCATAATCTGCTGATTTGGCCAAAATCCAATTGATTTTGACATCTATATAACTAAATTGATTTAAAATTAAATAAATTAGTCCAGTTTATTAAAGCTACACATTTAAAATATGACTTCCATTTCAGTTTTTTTTCCAATGGCTTATAATGTGAAAGCAGTGAACCAAGTGCGAACTGAAATCCCATAAATTGTTCAAGCGAAACATCACAAGCTACAGCTCTTAAAATATGTTTTGGATATAGGATCTCAACTGGATTTGTTTGTAGCTGGAATAACTTGCGTTTATAAGTACGGCCTTTAGTTTCAAATTAACTCAACATGAAAAAACAAACTGGATTTCCTCCTTTTAAACTCATTTGAACATTCCCAGCTTGACCAAAACTCCTAGTCATACAATTTTCATATATGAAAAACTTCTTATCCTACAATTTCCAACAGGTTCATACGCAGGGGCGGATTTAGGGGGGGGGGGGGGTGGACGGACGCCCTTCCCTCAGGGATTCGACCCCCAGCCGACCCAAAGGCTCCCCCTTTGTACTATTTTGAGATATCCATATTTGGTGACACACCCTAAAAATTTTCTAAAGGCGCCTTGGGCGCCAATATATACTTACTTTGAGGAGCGCGCGCCAAAAAACGCATTTTTTTGGTCAAAATTTTCGAAAAACTGCCTAAAAACGCCTTTTTTGGCCTGTTTTTCAGAACTTTGCCTGCGGCGCACAAAATTGGAGACCAAAACAGGGTTTTTTAGTGCTTTGGGAGAGCTCGGAAACTCAATTCGGTCGACCTAAAAAAAAGTCGACAAAATTTTCTAAAATTTTTGAAAACCCGACCCCCCTCGAGAAAATCCTAGATCCGCCCCTGTTCATACGTACAGAAACTTGTATGAAATCTACCCCATATGCAGGAGCAGATCTAAGATTTTCTCGAGGGGTGCGGATTTTCAAAAAACTTCGGGAAATTTTGTCGACTTTGATTTTCTAAGCACCACAGAACCACTATAACGACCTTTTTTTGACACAAATATTTGTGCCGCAGGCAAATTTTTAAAACAACAGGTAAAAAAGCTGTTTTGAGCATTTTTTGGAAAAACTTGGCCGAAAAAATATGTTTTTCTTGGCGCACGCTGCACTTCAAAATTAGTAAATATTGGCGCCAAAGGCGACTTTACGAAAACTTTAGGGTTGGTCAAACGAAGACAGATATCATCAAATAATACCAGAGGGGACACTTTGGTTGGTGAGGCGGTCGAATCCCTGTGGGGCATCCCTCCTTGAATCCCACCTGATGATAAGCCCTTGTTATAACATGAAAATTGTAAGATAAGCAGTTTTTCATAACTGAACTATTACGATTATCTTTTTTCAAAAAAAAAAAATCAAAAATCAAAAGTAGTTCTGCTTTGAAACTGTGTTTTTGAATAAAAACACAAACACCAAATATTTTTCACATGCAAGAAAACCCTGAGGTTTAGTTGCAACAATCAAACAGATAAACTGCATTTAGTGATTTACCATGCAATTTATTGCTATAACTCTTGCACAAAATTCGCAACAAAAACTTAAAATTTTATACGCAAAGGCCAAGCAAATCTTTGCATCGCTTGCGATATCATGCAAGCGCAAATTTCACGCTATAGAAATAAGACGGAAATCGCAAAATTGAAAAAAAAAATAGGAAAAAAAATACAAGAACACGGTGAAAACCACAACCATCAGTATTAAATAAGCATTCAAAAATCAAAAAAAAAATTGCCTTTGAAGCTACAAAAAAAAATAGTTAATCCGTCAAAAATATAAGCCAACACCATTTAGGCCGAAAAAAGCTTTTAAACGGAAAAAAACTCAGAAAATACACAACGCCAGGGCTATTAATTTGACAATTTACAGGAACAAATTAAAAACACTTTCATCTTCGATAAAAATAGCTCAAAAAATTCCACGATGTTGCAATTGAGCCGACAAACGAAAATCCGACAATGCAACTTTTCCCAGAAAAAATTTCAGTTTCATTCATTCATTACCTCTAAGCCAAGTGAGAAAGAGTCTCGTTCTAAGTTTCACTACAAAATTGTATAGCAAGTTAAATTGGCGAGAAAGGTTGTTTACAGGAAAAAGTCTAGATCCCGATTACAAGATACTGCTATCGCAAATGTAATATGGCTCGGAAGCTTCAGCCTTATAAAAAGCAGTGGTTGAAGAGGCCCGTTGTTTACAGAATGAGATTTATTTCAGATAAAACAAAGAAAATTAATCTATGATAAACGATATCAATTTGGGATGAAGAATTGCTTATCACACACTTTTCATCAAGAAAAAAACCTGTATGAGGAGCATTTTTCATCTTAAATTGAAATAGGAAATGTTGAACATCATCGATTCGATGAAAACTTTTTATAACAGTTTTACATTACGAGGCCAAACTGTGCACTGGATAAGCGCACAATTTTGTGTCTATTTGTTCCTGGATTCCAGAGACAAGTATTTAAACATGTTCCAAAATGTAAGTGGATTCCACTTACGAGATTTACGTGGATTCCGCGTACTTATACTTGTAACGTAAATTTTGTCGGCACTTTTAATTTTTTGCGGATTTCGCAACAAGCAAATATAGCTAGTTGTTCTGGATTCCGCAACTGTAAGTGGATTCCGTAAAATGTGAGTGGAATCCGCAAATGTAAGTAGAATCCGCAAAATTTGTAAGCGGAATACGCAAACTGTAAAGGAATTAGAAAATTAATTATTACTTAACTTGCATATGCACTTGCGGAATTTCAAAGCAAGGACTTAACCATTGTCAGCGGAATCCACGATCAAATTGTAAAAAATTAGTATCTAAATCGATGGATGTCACACTTTAGTATTTGCAGGCAGTTTTTGGGATCATAGTTTTGGAAACACAACACCGAAGAAGTTCATCTCGGTAATTGGGTTAATTCATTATTGAGTTGACATATCGCCGAATTCGGTCAGTATTTGGGATTCAGTATTGAGATTCAGTATTTGAGATTTTGTATTCGGGATTCAGTTTTCGCGAGCGTGAAGTCAAATCATTTTGTTCACAGGGAGTAATTGATCTATTTAATCAATTTGAGTAAATTAGTATATCATAAAAAAAACCAAAACTTGAATTACAGCAGAATCAAATTCGAAGTTCAAAAAGACAAACAAATAGCCCTGAAAATGTTGCCTTATTAAAGTATGTTCTGATTTCGCATTTTGAAAGTATTTCAAAATAGCTAAACTAAAACTTTTATTTTATTGAATGGCTTGAAATGAACTGATGAATAAGTTTACAGGAACTGAGATTGATGACAGGATTTGAAATCGAAGTTAACATTTGTAGGAAGTGAGATTGAAGCTGGGTATGTTTGACAGGAATTAAGATGAGATCGAAGTTGCGTATGTTTGTCAGGAATTGAGATCGATGTTGGGTATGTTCGACAGGGTTTAAGATCAAAGTTGGGTGTTTGACAGAAATTGAGATCGAACATTTAGCATTCCAACTGGTTGCTGATCAACGTAGTAGTTAAAAGATACTAGCGCTTAACGCACCTTCGGTGCTTCGAATTTTTTTGACAACTCATGAAAAACCGCATATATTGGAAACAACATCTGCAAACTTTTAGTGTACTCTGACTGCACCCAATTACAGGGTTGGTAATTTCGAACTTTTAAATTTTTTTTCAATTCCCATTTTAAATGCGTCATTTCGAAAACTTAAAGGGCCTCTGGAGAATTTTGGAAGCCAGATTTGGAACCACAGAGTCCCTGAGAGCACCCTACTATAGGGTTTGGAATCCAAAATTTTGTCAGTTTTTTTAAACCAAAGTTTCCCGAAAAAAAAAGAAAAAAACGTCTTTTCTCGAAAACTAAAAGGATTTGAGCATTCATATTAAAAGGCAAGATTTGAGACTCCAGGGTGTACGCTGACAATAAGGTTGTATCTTCATCAAGTTAGTTGTTTCAAGTTTTTTGAATTTCTGTGAGAAATTTTGAGAAAATCAAAAAACGTCACAGCTCGGAAAGTAAATCATTTGAGCAGTCGCGTTTAGCAGTCCTATGTGGCAAAATTTGCAACTCTTTAGAGTACCCTGACAACACTGAACTATAATGTTGGGAAATTCAAATTTTGAAAAATAATTAATTTAAACTTTCTGAAAATTTTGAAAAAATCACTAAAAACGTCACATCTCGAAAACTACAAAGAATTTAGCAGTGATATTTGGAGGCAAGATTTGCAATCCTTGAGAGTACTTTGTCAGGACCTAACTACAGGGTTCGGAAATTCAGATTTTAAAAGAATCATAATAATTTAAGGTTTCTGAAAATTTTTGAAAAATTCACAAAAAACGTCACATCTCGAAAACTACAAAGAATTGAGCAGTGATATTTGGAGGCAAGATTCGCAATCCTTGAGAGTACTTTGTTTGGACCTAACTACAGGGTTTGGAATTTCAGATTTTAAAAGAATAATAATAATTTAAGGTTTCTGAAAATTTTTTGAAAAATTCACAAAAAACGTCATATCTCGAAAACTACAAGGATTTGAACAGTCATATTTGGAGGCAAGATTTGTAACTCCTTAGAGTACTCCGATAGCACCCAACTACAGGGTTGGGAACTTCAAGTTTTGTAAATTGTTTGGTTATTTAAAATTTCTGAAAATTTTCGAAAAAATCTCAAAAGTCGTCTTATTTCGTTAACTAAAATGATTCGGGCATTCAAAATTGGAGGCCAAGTTCGCAACCCATTATTCGATATTGGGCTGCTTAATGTAAACTCGGTAAAATAACCACTAAAATCAAATTGGAAAATCAAAAAAAAATTTCAATCATTGCAATATACGATATAGCTTAAACATGCAGAAATAATACGTTGAAAAAACTTAAACATGGCGAGATAGTGAAGCCCGCATTTAAATATATAATAGATAGTTTTAAAAGCTACTACACATACATATATGTAAACGGAATCCGCAAACAAAATGCGGATTCCACTTACAGTTTGCAGATTCCACTTACAATTTGCGGATTCCATTTACAGTTTGCGGATTCCGCTTACAGTTGAGGGTTCCGCAACAGCTCAATTCAATATACACATGTCTCGTTATTTGTGAGTGGATTCCACAAACTGTTCTGGATTCCGCAAATTCGCCTATTTTTGGAGCGATTTTGAACGGTACAGTGTTTAAGATATTTGTTTGTGGAATCCAAAACAGCAAAGAAGATCAAAGAAAAGTAGCAATGTTACGGATTTCGCGACAAATCTGATTTGGGCCTGTTGCGGAATCCACTTACAATGCACAGAATGCACAGTTTGGCCTCGTAATGTTTTTTTCTTCATAAAATGTGTGTGACAAGCATTTGCTGACATTCTCAAGGTATGAAATTGTAGAATCAAATTGTTGGCGGTCAACCCGGGTTTTCAAGCAAAAATATCTTGATTTCCTGCAACGCTATTGAAAAATGAAAATGTTTATTTAAACATTGTGGAGGAAATAGTTAGGGGTAGTTTTTCCTCCGACCAATTTCCGGGAGTAGATCAAAGTTGATATTGACGAAAATGTTTTATACCACGTAAAAAAGATCGATGCCCTGAGCTGAAAGTCAAACAGATAATATTTTGATTGTGATATTTTTTCGTAAAGCTGGTTGGAAAATTGCAAATTTTGACATTCTCATGGACTATTTATGTGCGTTTGTATCCTTTTATCTTCACAAATCGATGCGCAAATTGAATTGTTTGTGTGCGGCAATTAATCATAACTCTAAAAATTACTAGAAATCGAATTGAGGCGAGGTAACTGTTCCGATAAGACGCAAAATATCACATTGCATCAAGAAAAAATGATTTACACTCTAACCACCCACTATGATTTTTAAAAAGAAACACTATTGTGTCCCTGGTTATACATTGTAACTGACACATGCAACTCCTAATTTTTAGGCTGGGCAATGTCGCCTTATTCCCTACAAATCAGCCGAAGTAACAATAACCAAAACACCAACTTTTTCATTATTCTTAAATGTTTTAATTTTTTTCACGAATAAAAACTTGCAGCCTTATGAAGAGAAGCCGAAAAAATCCTGGTAGAAGTCAATCCTGATACGATGTATTGTTTTGCACAATACGATGTATTGTTTTGTCAGCAGTACTCAAAATTAGACAGATTCTTACAATTGTGGAAAATGCTTGTAGGTTTCGTCCAAGGGTGTAGCGAATCGAGCTCAATGTAATTTTGGTGTAAAATTTTCGAGACAAAATGGCTGGAAGATAAACAATTAATCGGTATTATCATAAAAGCAGGCCGATAACACAAACTGACTCAAACAAGACCTTGCTGTTTACTCAAGCACTTTTAATTGCCTCTATTCAAATACTGTGATAAAAATTGAGCTATTTCTAATCAAGCTCCATAAAAAACCGAAATTGCCTGTCATACCTGTGTCAAGGCTAAATCTTTTACTTGTATCATACTTACAGACAACAATTAATCAAACTCAAAATTTACATTGATCGCAAAAATGTTAAGTAGCGAACGCTTTCTTCGCTGAGCTTAAATTTGGCATGAAAAGTAGAGTTTGCACAAGAATTAGTCTCTACCTTTCAACTAAGAAAGTAAAAGAAAAGCTGTGCTTAAAAGTTCCAAAGAGAGAAATCCTAATGAATATTCAAACAAGTTAGTCATAGTTTGACATTCAAAAACCTCCAAGAAACTGAGAAGTCTTTATTTATTACAGTCTTCATAGTACACTTGATTTTTATAGTAATTTTCAGATTTTTATAATTGAGAACTTTATATACCTTTTAAGCTGAAGTGTCAGGATGTGGCATATTAACTTCGTTGAGTAGCTGCAAGATTTCGACTAGTTTTTTTAGAAAAAAATTTCGTTTTGGTTTTCTTGCATTAGATATTCAAGGTACAATAATGAATAATCCTTAGAAAAAAAACACAAAAAGACGATCCTGCCGATGTCACAAAAACATCGCAAAAACAGCCGAAGCCGAAATCACAAAAATTACAAAATCACTGCCGAAATCACAAAAAAAACTACACAAAAAACACTGAAAAAAAATTGAAGGCAGTCTGTAAAATTTTCAATGAACTGTGAGCTACAAACAGTATATAACATAATCAGATTCAGAAGCATATAACACTTTTTTCAGAAAAAACAACAACAATTAGTGTCACAAATATGCCATCCGAGATATTAACCGAGCAATTAAACAAAAAAATTGGGGAATAAATATAAGCTACCTTTTAAAAAAATATGATCAGCACTGATGTCGCAAAAATATTTTGCCAATAAAAAAATCCCCATTTGGATTCATTAAAACAAAATGGGTAGAATAATCTGGAAGTTATACTTCTTATAATGATTCAATTAAAATTTGAAGCTGAGAAATATCAACTCTAAACAAACATTTATTCAAAAAAAATAGAACTTTTTGCTAAACACACGGCAACAGTCCCTTTAAAAAACCATTTGGTTCATTTTGGGCTGATTATTTATGTTCTATATTAAAAATGATATAATAATATATATGCCAAATTGTATATTTTATTTCTGGTGTAAAATTTGATTTTTAACTTTTTATACAGCCCAAGCGGAGCTGCGCAATCCTTGCGATGCAACGCGAGCATAGCATTGCAAGCTAGCGAACAAAAAGGAGACGGAAATCACTAATGGTAAAACAACAATAAAAAAAATTAAAACAAACTACAAAAATTACAGAAATTTAATGTTCAATAAAAGCAAATGTGCGCGTCAATCTCCACAGTTTGAAAAAATCAGTTCTCAAACAATTTAATTAACGAGCATTTTCTCGGTAAAATAGCTCGGGAAATTTGGTAACAACGATAGTTTTTATAAAGGACTTTATCATCGGTAACATCGGTCATAAACATCTGCATAACTCAAAGCAAGCTGCAAAAATGGCCAGTAATTGTCCTTGAGACAAATTGCTCTTTTTAAAGGTCAGCCTTAATCAAAGCTGAACCAAATTAGAGCGAAAAGACGGTTAAAATAGGTTTTGGGGGTGGTTCGAACCTGATTGTGGAGCGCCCATCCAGTTCGGGGCATATTTGAGTTCTGGAAATGAAATGACCTAGTCGGGATTCGAACCGACGCCGAAACCGCCGGGACGCACCCTGTATACGCTTGGCTACTGTCTCTATATGCATTTACATTTTGGTTCAATTTTATATGCATTTGTACTCTCGCTTACATTTGCGCTGCAACATCCTCCACCCCTAAACAAGGAAGAACGGGAGCGAGCTTTACGGTCGGGCGGGTCAGTTCGCTCATAACGGTCTTTATGTCGGCGGATCTCGCGCATCCGTCCTTGCCATAGCGCAGTTTTAGGATACGTGCGAGTGGATAATGTCCACGTGGAGTGTCAGGCTCTATGACCCAAACCAATTCGCCGGCTTTCAACTTAACGTCTGACTGGTTGTGCCACTTTGCCCTCCTAATGAGGGAAGGAACGTATTCCCGCATCCACCGTGTCCATATTGCGTTCGCGTATGATTGTGCTCTGGCGAACCGCTTCTTATGGTCGAAATTTTCTTCGAAACTTAGCGACGGAAAAATCGCTGCGTGTTTACCAAGGATAAAATAATTCGGGGTCAACGCCTCTAGATCTAGCGGATTGGTACTAACGGCTGTTATCGGTCTAGCGTTAAGTGATTGCTCAACAAGGCACACCGTGGTTCCTAGAACCTCCTCAGTTACTCTTCTGTTGCCTAGGATATCATACAAAACTCGCTTGACACTCCGAACTAATCGCTCCCAGGAGCCACCATGGTGCAGTGCGCTGGGTGGATTGAATTTCCATTTGATCCCTTTCTGAACAGAAACAGCGGGTGCGAGCTTGTTCCAACTCTCAACGCAAGCTAGGAGCTCTTTCTGAGCGCCAACAAAGTTCGTGCCGTTGTCGGACATGATGGTAGTCGGAGTACCGCGACGTGCAATAAACCTCTCCACGCCTATCACACAAGAGCTTGTGTCGAGCGAGGGGACCACTTCAATGTGCACCGCTGTAGTGGTGAGACAGGTGAACAAAAAACCCTACCTCTTTTGCTTACTTCTCCGGATTGGAACTAGGAACGGCCCAAAGTAGTCGACACCTGTGTTAGAGAAAGGAGGTTGTTTGTAACCAAGCCTTTCAATGGGCAGATCAGCCACAATATGAGTCACGATTTGCGTTTTCGGCACGTAACGCAAGTTTTTTCAATGTTTCGCAGCAACCATCGCAAATTTAACACAACGTATTTCGAATTAACCACCGCACGCATGTAATCCAAGCCATGATAGAAATTCCTAACGTGCATGTGTTTAACCAATAACCGAACAACCGCGCGACGTGCATGAAGTATAATCGGTTGCTTGCTATCGAAATCGGAATTAACCAGGCGGCTGATGCGCCCAATCGAGCGAAGGACGCCAGCTGGTCCAATGAACGGCGAATACTTGGCGATCCGACTATTCCTCGTGATAACTTTACCGGATCTTGGTAGTTTTAGCTCACTAGGAAATGTCTCACCCTGGGACAGGTAAATGAGCTTCTGTTCAGCAATATCCATTTTACACGGGTCTGTAATTTCTAATATACTCGACCGGAAATGTTTATGGGATGGCAGCCATCTTAACAAAAATGCTACTGTGCGTTTGTATTTTACAATTGAACTGAATCTCTCCCATTTTCCGAAGGGAAAATTATTTTCAGTCAAAACATCGACGACGAAATTTGAAGAATTTTCCAGACAAATGTCGATATCACATGATGGTCCTTTGAGTCTTATTTTATCAATAACCCTTGTATCGGGCTTGAACGTCCAATCAGTCGTTCTCAGTATACTAGGGCCATTAACCCAGCTGCTTTCCTTGAGGGCTTCCGAAGAAATCCCTCATGTACCGGTATCAGCTGGGTTATCACCGCTAAGTATGTGATGCCACTGATCAGTGGTGGTAGACTCCAGAATCTCACCAGTGCGATTACCAACAAAAACGGGTAGTTTATTACAGGAATTAAGCCACTGAAGAACAGTGGTATTATCTGTCCACATGAAAATATTCGTAACTTTGAACGTAAGACCTTTCAAAACTTCTTCTTTTAAGCGGCTTGCAAGAAGAGCCGCTTGAAGCTCTAACTTTGGAATAGAAAGCGCTTTCATAGGCGCGACGCGAGCTTTGCCAAACACAAAGGCTAATTCGGTCTGATGCGAGCTAGTAAGTCGCGCACGAAGGAAAGCGACGGCACAGAAAACATCCTGCGAACTATCACCGAACATGTGAAGTTCTATTCGGTCGAAAGGTTCAGTGAAATAGATGCGAGGTATTGTCAGAGAACCTAACAAACGAAGACCTGAGTGCCACTCAAGGAACTGCTTTTTGATTCCCTCTGGCAGATCATCGTCCCATTTTTGACCGCTGATTCGCCAG